CTGGGGAATTCTGGGAGTCGAAGTCCACCCGTCTTCAAGGGGCCAAGGTTGAGAAACACTGCTCTATAGAGGCTTTCCCTCCCAGGGAGGGAAATTGTTGGTAAATCGTTCCAGTAACCATTTATAATGTCAATTAAAATAGTTCTTCAATGATGCTTTTAAGGAACATGGTCGGGGTTGCAAAGGGATGAAAGTTCTCCCCAATAAAGCTCTTTTAGCGGTCCTGATCCCATCTCCCTCTTGCCTTTGGCTTTCCCAGGAAATATTCCCTGTGCAAACTATCCGGAAGGCAGCCCAGCTGGGGTTTGGGGGCATCTACGTGAAGCCAGACGTGGGGGGCTCCGGACTGACTCGGCTTGACACCTCCATCATCTTCGAGGCTCTGTCGACAGGCTGCGTCAGCACCACGGCTTACCTCAGCATCCACAAGTGAGTTCCTGCTGTGGCTTCGGTGGCCCGTCTCCAGACTGGGGTCTTCTAGGTGGGTCCAGCAGCTTGGGGTTGCCTAGTAACGGGTGGGGGGGGTCTACATTTACAAATTGGTGGCTTGCTTTCTGTCCTTCTGCTGCAGTATGTGTGCATGGATGATCGACACCTTTGGGAACGAGGAACAGAGGCACAAATTCTGCCCGTCCCTTTGCAGCATGGAAAAATTTGCCTCTTACTGCTTGACGGAGCCCGGTGAGACCACCCTGTCCTCTCTGCTAAGATGCCCCTTCCCAGCTCTTGAACAAATCAGATTTCCCGTGTTAGCAGCGCTCTCGAGCCACACAATGATTTGTAGGGTTCAGTCGGGCTCCTTCGGGGAGAAAGGTCTGGGTTCGAGTCGCCTTGGTGCTTGCTGAGGGTCTGGGGAGCCACGGCTGCTCGCAGCCTAGATAAAGTGGTTGACACGTGGGGAAGGAGGAAGAGCCGTTGCTCTGAATTTTTAGAAAGAGCAGCAAGTGCGAATAACATTTTTTTTTAATACAAAAGACTGGAAACCCTTTATGGACTTGTGGCTGAAAATGGGGGGGGGGGGATGAACATGTGATTTTGGGATTTATTGATTAAAAAGTTTGTTGGTGGGAAGAAGGGAACCATGGTATGTAATTTGGGAGGGTGGAGATGGCAATTACTGTGTTTGTAACCGTGGCAGAGAAGACCAGAAGTTGCTTCTTTAGTTAATTTTTCTTTTTATCTTTCACTTTTTCTTTTACTCCTTTCTATTTTCTTTCCTTTCCTACTTTCCCTTTTATGTTCCTGTGGTTTTTTTTAAGCCAATGTAAAATCCTCTTTTATTTTTTTAAATTACTTAAAACAATATTGTAATAGAAAGAACCGAGATCTAAGTTTATTTAGCCCATGCACATTACCCAGAGCAGTGTTTCTCAACCCTTGGCATGTTTAAGTTGCATGGACTTCAACTCCCAGAATGCATGGCTGGCTGGGGGATGCTGGGAGTTGAAGTCC